AATTGTGGGTAACAAAATCCAAAAATGTAGCTGGCGGGTTGACGGGGTCAAAACAATGATGCTTCAAACAGGAGGGCATTTCAATCCCAGCAAAAAAAATACAAAAAAACAATTAAGAAAAACAGAGCGGGGTAGTGATGATTCGAACAGGGGTGCAATTAAATCTCTGCAAGAAAGGGTGTGATAGCATTTAAAAGGCAGCGGGAGGGTTGGCGGGGGTGGCTTCCCCTATGATGTTCGAAGAAATGCATACGTACAGACATACACGGACTACACAGATTACCTAAAATGTCGTATTTTGCAGCATTTTCTCGCGAAATTGGATGCTCGAAAAAGTGATGATTCAAACAGGGGTGCAATTCAATCTCTGCCGGGCCAGTAAAGTGTCGTATTTTACAGCATGTTCTCGCGAAATATACCCCGCATGTCCCACCAACATCCCTAGCATCACCCACAAATCGTGTGACGGGGTCAAAGAAATGATGATTCAAGCAGGAGGGCATGTCAATCCCTGTAAACAAATATAAAAGTAGCGGGGGGGTTGGCGGGGGCGGCAGCCCCCCCACGATGTTGTTTGCAGAAGTGATGATTTGAATAGGGGTGCAATTAAATCTCTGCAAAAAGTCTAAAAAGTAGCGGGGGGGTTGGGGGGGGCGGCAGCCCCCCCCCATGATGTTCGAAGAATTGATGATTCAACTAGGCGTGCAATTAATTAAATCTCTGTCGAAAATCTAAACGTAGCGGGGGGGGGGTTGGGGGGGGGCGGCAGCCCCCCCATGAGGTCGGAAGAAGTGGTGATTCAAGTAGGGGTGCAATGATTCAAGAAAGGGTGTGATAGAATTTACAAGGCAGCGGGAGGGTTGGCGGGGGTGGCTTCCCCTATGATGTTCGAAGAAATGCATACATACAGACATACACGGACTACACAGATTACCTAAAATGTCGTATTTTGCAGCATTTTCTCGCGAAATTGGATGCTCGAAAAAGTGATGATTCAAACAGGGGTGCAATTCAATCTCTGCCGGGCCAGTAAAGTGTCGTATTTTACAGCATGTTCTCGCGAAATATACCCCGCATGTCCCACCAACATCCCTAGCATCACCCACAAATCGTGTGACGGGGTCAAAGAAATGATGATTCAAGTAGGAGGGCATGTCAATGCCTGTAAAAAAATATAAAAGTAGCGGGGGGGTTGGGGGGGGCGGCAGCCCCCCCCACGATGTTGTTTGCAGAAGTGATGATTTGAATATACACGGACTACACAGATTACCTAAAATGTCGTATTTTGCAGCATTTTCTCGCGAAATTGGATGCTCGAAAAAGTGATGATTCAAACAGGGGTGCAATTCAATCTCTGCCGGGCCAGTAAAGTGTCGTATTTTACAGCATGTTCTCGCGAAATACCAACATCCCTAGCATCACCCACAAATCGTGTGACGGGGTCAAAGAAATGATGATTCAAGCAGGAGGGCATGTCAATCCCTGTAAACAAATATAAAAGTAGCGGGGGGGTTGGCGGGGGCGGCAGCCCCCCCACGATGTTGTTTGCAGAAGTGATGATTTGAATAGGGGTGCAATTAAATCTCTGCAAAAAGTCTAAAAAGTAGCGGGGGGGTTGGGGGGGGCGGCAGCCCCCCCCCATGATGTTCGAAGAATTGATGATTCAACTAGGCGTGCAATTAATTAAATCTCTGTCGAAAATCTAAACGTAGCGGGGGGGGTTGGGGGGGGGCGGCAGCCCCCCCATGAGGTCGGAAGAAGTGGTGATTCAAGTAGGGGTGCAATGATTCAAGAAAGGGTGTGATAGAATTTACAAGGCAGCGGGAGGGTTGGCGGGGGTGGCTTCCCCTATGATGTTCGAAGAAATGCATACATACAGACATACACGGACTACACAGATTACCTAAAATGTCGTATTTTGCAGCATTTTCTCGCGAAATTGGATGCTCGAAAAAGTGATGATTCAAACAGGGGTGCAATTCAATCTCTGCCGGGCCAGTAAAGTGTCGTATTTTACAGCATGTTCTCGCGAAATATACCCCGCATGTCCCACCAACATCCCTAGCATCACCCACAAATCGTGTGACGGGGTCAAAGAAATGATGATTCAAGTAGGAGGGCATGTCAATCCCTGTAAAAAAATATAAAAGTAGCGGGGGGGTTGGGGGGGGCGGCAGCCCCCCCACGATGTTGTTTGCAGAAGTGATGATTTGAATAGGGGTGCAATTAAATCTCTGCAAAAAGTCTAAAAAGTAGCGGGGGGGTTGGGGGGGGCGGCAGCCCCCCCCATGATGGTTGAAGAATTGATGATTCAACTAGGGGTGCAACCCCCCCATGATGTTCGAAGAATTGATGATTCAACTAGGGGTGCAACTAATTAAATCTCTGCAGAAAATCTAAAACGTAGCGGGGGGGTTGGGGGGGGCGGCAGCCCCCCCCATGATGTCGGAAAAACGCCACCTGCCGAAGAGGAACTGGGAATGCAGAGGATGCGAAAAGCCAAAAAGCCACCAAAAGCCGCATAAACCAGCAAAAAGCCGAAAAGCCTAGAAGCCCAGAAGCCGAGAAGCCAAGAAGCCAAGAAGCCAAGAAGCCAAGAAGCCAAGAAGCCAAGAAGCCAAGAAGCCCAGCCGAGAAGCCAAGAAGCCAAGAAGCCAAGAAGCCAAGAAGCCAAGAAGCCCAAGAAGCCCCGAGAAGCCAAGAAGCCAAGAAGCCGAAAAGCCAAGAAGCCAAGAAGCCCGAGAAGCCCAAGAAGCCAAGAAGCCAAGAAGCAGAAGCCAAGAAGCCAAGAAGCCAAGAAGCCAAGAAGCCCAGAAGCCGAGAAGCCGAGAAGCCAAGAAGCCAAGAAGCCGAAAAGCCAAGAAGCCAAGAAGCCAAGAAGCCAGGAAGCCGAGAAGCCAAGAAGCCAAGAAGCCAAGAAGCCAAGAAGCCAAGAAGCCAAAAGCGAAAAAAAATCCAAAAAAAAACGAAAAAACATCCTAAAATAAATACCCCTCCCAAAACAAATGTGGTCACCAGTTGGGGGGGGGCAGGCAAAAATGTTAGCGAACCTACGCGAACCCAAAGTACCTAAGCGAACGTTTGCGAACCCGCTTCTCATCTGCGAACATGGCGGGGATTGCGAACTGTCAAAGTCATGCGCAAACGCAGGGGGGCTTAGCTAGGCTGCCAGGGCTGCGCCGAGCCGGCGCCGCCGCTGGCAGGACCTGGCCAGGGCTGCGGCGGGCCGGCGCCGCCTCTGGCAGGACCTGGCCAGGGCTGCGCCGGGCCCGCCTCTGGCACCTGGCCAGGGCTGCGCCGGGCCGGCGCCGCCCTCGCACGAACCCTGGACTGGGTTTGCGAACCTTTGGATTTCCCAATTCAGTTTGCGAAGGTTTGCGAATTCCATTTCGGGCTTGCGAACCCGGCCAGGCATTGCGAACTTTGAGTCGAACCCCCAACAGATTTGCGAACCTGTGCGAATGGTCATGGCCTGCCCCCCCCTCAGTGGTGACCACATCCGTTTTGCCCTGATCTAAGACATGAACCCGATCGCTTGTGAAGAACAATCTTCGTTTAAATCCATTTAAGATTGGATTCCTAGGTGTTCCATGTCGATTTGAAGGGGTACACGGTTCTTCGTTTTCGTGATGGTGGAGGGTGCACATTGGAGGCAAAAAACGCAAGCCCAACAATTTGCGGTAGCACCCATCACCACCGCCACCGCCGCCGCGCACTGCTAAACCCAACCATGTAGCTCTTTCAATCCACAAAGGCTATGGTTCAGTTCCTGCAGGTATAGTATGATGTTTGCAATCCCCTTACTCAAGGAGCAAAACAAACAGCTACTTACTGAACAGCTGACCAGCACAACAACTGCACGGCCGAGTATCTTTGGCACTCCCAGCTGTGTAGCCCCGGGTGGACGGCTCCACGTTCAGAAAGGCGTCCAACGCCTGCGAATCGGAGGCAGAATGGCGCAACAAATGCAAAGCACTCGACAGGGAATGTACCTCTCTGCTTTTGCAGGAACACGGCCTGAATATTTGCTCTGGGTGAATAAACCATATTTGGCTAATATACCCCTAGTTGAGGGCATCTGGATCACTTGGTTGAGTTGCACTCCCCAGTGCATGCAGGTAGCAGATTCCCATCCTGTTCTTTTAGCAAAGAAGCAGTACCAGTGACAAATAAGTGATCAAGTCGATGGAAGGAGCAACCGCCTCAAGCGGCTTGACCACGCCAACCCCCAAAAAACGAACCAAATCAGATGAATTATCCCAGAGCTTCGCCCTCACCAGCTGCGCTGGTTGGCTGCTTCACCCTTCCCACTTCCCACACCCTTTCCACCCTTCCCACGCTTCACCCTCCCACCCTTCACCCTCCCACCCTCTTCACCCTTCCCGCCCTTCCCACCCTTCTGCACGGGGGCACACGCAAAGCCAATCAGACGAAGACTGCATCCTGGGCATCCCACACGGTCTTTGCGATGTTTTCCGCACAGTGGCGGCGGCCCCGCTTTCAACGCAAACATGCCCGCGATGCTGGTGATGCAGGGGGATGCTGGGGATGCTAGTGAAGTTGGCCAGGATGTAGAGGATGTTAGCAGGGGTGCTGGCGACAGTTGGGGGCGCTTTGGTATTTAAAGTGCTTTTTGAAGGTTGGGCACGTGGCATCAGGAGCCCGTCGCAAGGCCAGGGATGTCGGGCATGTCATGGGATCCAAATGTCTGCTCTGGCCTGTGTCCGGATCATGCAGGGCATGCTGAGGAGCTTCTGGCGCAACAAAACACGTCAGCAGTAAACCCTCGGGTAGGGTTCTTTGGCCCCAAAGGGTATGCAGCCCTCATTCCGAAGGGGATTGCCAGAGTTTCGGAAGAAGCCTGCCCATGCTCTCGCCTGGAACATTTGACTGTCGGAAAGACTTTTCTAGGCGTAGACCCCAAAAAGGGGTCCCACTTTTCAGCTTTGTGGTTTCTATGTTCAGCTGGGGGGACTCCGCATCCGCATCCGCAGCTGGCTAGAGTGAGAGGATACAATTTGCGACTGCATGGGCTGAGCACTTGCCGCGCCCACTCACCCCATCGGCTGACGCCTCCGGGTCGCCGCTGGCCCCTAGGGCCTTGGGGATGGTCACCGGGCTGGTGTCACCCTCCCGGAGCATCACGGCCACCTCAGCCAAGTGGCCACTCACCGGGACACCCCTCCCCTCCCCTCCCCTCCCCTCCCCTCCCAGAACAGGCGGATGAATTTGGGGGATCAAGGGAAGGGCCCCTACATCTTGATCCAATTTTGGTTGTCAACTCAGAGGAAACACGTCCCGAAACAGGCCAGCAGGCATGGCCTCAATCTCCCCTCACAACACCCGTCCTTAAAACCTACATCCATCACCCCGATTCCCCAGCACAACTTGGAAATCTACAAGAAAGATGTTCAAGACCACCCAGGCGCTCCAGCAGGAAACAATAGGAATGCTGCTTTACAAGAAGTTTAACATAACCGCTACAAGACCCCCCTCCCAAAAAAGCTGATCTGGGACCATGGTCAACCCCAACAAAACGGCCAAGCTCCCCCGCCCCCAGCCCCGAGTCCCGAGTCCCGAGTGTTGAGACATGTTGAGACACCAGCTCTGCCACGTCCGCGCCCAGGGAGTGCCCAGTGCAGACCAAGCGGTACTCCGGCAGCTCCTTCAGCGCCTCCGCCAGGCAAGCGCCCGCGCAGCTCAGGATCCACCTGCCGCGTTTCAACATCACCGGGGGATGAAGGAGTAAACCGGCCAAAGGAAAACCCGGGGCTGGGCAACCCTACTTTGGGGGCCACAGGTCCACTCCAGGAGTTTCTCCCAAAGTTTAGGTTGCATCGTGCCGGAAAAAAAAAGAGCTGGCTGCAAATAATGATCCCCGAAACGGAGTATGCCAGGTCGGACCACTGGGTTCAAGAAGGACCTGCCCTACCCAGGAGTTTGCCCGAGAATGAGAGATGCGGTGAGATGGACTTGGTGAGGATTGTCGCATCGCAATCCAAACGACCATAGGTCCCACATGCACAAGGTTGACAGGCCTCCAAGGATTCGAGTGCTTGAACGCCGTTCCAGGCCCGCAAGAAAGGATAACTTAAAAAACCCAACATTCCGACTCCCAGGAATTCTACCATATGGGGAGAAAAACACATACTAAACATGTGTGCTCCTATGATTATGACTTACGTTGGTCACTGACCTAGAACCCTAGTCTAATTATTTCGCCCTGATTGCGGCAGCGCGTTTAGATCGCCGAAGCTGATGTGCCCTGATGTGCCTTGGGAATGGGTGAGGCATTCCTTTTCAGACCAATAAACGTCCGGACACACCCCACATGCACGTGTGTTTTCACCACAGCAAATGTCGCGATGAGTCCTCCAAAATCACAGATTAATACTAGGGGAACCCTAAAAGAAAGGAACCTGGACTAATAGGGATCTCATGATCAGTTCAGGATCCTAGTAATGCTGGCTTCATGTGAGGGGTCATTTGTCGACCATGCGTACAGCAACCTCATTGATTGTTGGGTTGAATGTTCCAAGCCCGGCCCCAGGAAAAGGAAACACGAAGAATCTAGCGCACACACCCGCAGAAAGAAACAATTCGCTTGTAGAATTAGATTTCACGGACTCCACTACAAAAAGGAACTGACAATCAAAACCTGTCAATGAGCTACAAAGACACACAGTTCATTTGTTTCCTGACCATGTCAAGGAAGCCCCAAAGTGACCAGACCGCGTCGCCTGGCAGCTCTGGCCATGCCGCTGTGCGCAAGGCCGCCGGCCACCAAGCTCTCCTAACTACATAACTTGCTGGTGCTCAGTAGGGAATGTGGGAATGGCCCCTGTAAACCATCTCCTATGGTTTCCTTTAAGGGAATTCCCACATTCCCTACTGAGCACCAGCAAGATAACTAACTGACTCACTGACCGACTTAAGCAAGAGGGATACGTTTTTCTTGTCTTCTGTAACTGTAGGCTCGGAGTATCGGAGTATCGCCGGTTGGTTGAACCATTCTGCTTTCATTCAATGAAAGATCTGGTCTCTCAATTCGATCAAAGATGGCTTCCACTGACCCTTAACCAATACCTCCCCAGAATGTAAGGGCACCCTCAAAAAAGGCACGCCACGCCCCAATCTTTTCACCGGGGGGGGGGGGTGCTATTTGAAGCAAGACTCGACCAGGGTTGCAGGGGAGCTGCCATCAAAACGAGCATGGGACAAGACAAACTACCCGCACGGAAGGACTCCCGTCATGGGCTAGCTGGTTTTTCGCGAGCTAGGATTAGTGCAGAACAAATCAGCGCGTGGCTGTGGTTGAAACGTAGCGAGCCAGGCCCTTGGATTTGTCCTCCATCCCCAAGAAGTGAGATCCAAAAAGGGCATGGTGTGCTCGGTTTGATCAACCGATGCATTCGTTGCTCTGAACCTGGGAACGCTCTATCGAAACCAAACCTGGTTAACCTACACACAGCCTTGGCCAAACCGGCCAAACCGGCCAACCCAACCAAGCCAAAATTGGCGGGTGCCACGCCAACCCAGAACAGGAAGGATAAGCCTGTACATCTTTGTCTTTTGAATGTTGATTGGATAAACCATTTCAATGCTAGGCTTAGGGGTTGAACATTGACCGAGTTGGGTAGAGCTTGCAACCTCAATGAAGTTGCAAACATTGACCGTCCCACAAGCAAGCATAGCTTGGTGCAAAAACACGAGGTGCAAGAGGAGAGTAATCTTTCAGAGGTGTGGGTGGTGTGGCGGTAGCCATTTACAGTTTGCATCGCAGAGGTCTTTGTTCCATCCCTAGAAGTTGGCTTGGTCCAGTAGCACCAAGCGTTCTTGTTGCCAGTTGGTTCCCTGACCAAGCAGTCCTTTTAACACCACGTTGTTGGAACACCACAAGTAACCCTCGGGCGAGCACGGGCATTGGGTGCTACAAGCACATAGCTTCAAGTTCCAAGTTTTCGTGGAGGAAGCCGCAAAACATTCAAACAGATTGGATTATGTTCAGCTTTCCAGATCTCCCTTAATCAATTCAACAGAAAGATCGCCGTCCAATCACAGAAAGGGGCCTTTTGTCCCACGTCAAGGACATGGCCCAACTGTTGCTAAGGCTATTCCACCAAACAGGGTCTTCATTCCTAATCCAACCCACCGATAGGAAGAAGACTAAAAGTAGACTGATAGTATCGAAAGCGGGGCTGCAAGCGCCGAGTGCTGGTTCACACAAACAAAAGCATGCTGCAAAAAGAATAACACTCCCTGCATATGTGGTGTGCGACATATCAGAAACCAACAAGCCGTTTGTTTGTGCTGATGCTTTCAAGCGAGCCCCCAGGTGTCTGCGTGGGTACATGGTTTGGCGGTGGCCGGGTTGGCTGGCTAATGCTGTGCACTTGTGGAATAGGAAAGTCGTTGCTTTCTTTGAAGGCACCATGTCACCATGTCCCTGTCAGGTGGCTTGGCAATGTGGGAGGGAGGGTAGCAAGCGTTGACCCAGCCAAACAGCCCCACCCCCCCACAGGCCTCTGCAGCTACATCGGTCAGCACCGCGGACCACTCGCAAGAGCCACGCACGGACAGCACCAGCCTCAGGTTCACCCAGGATTGACCCCATCAAGGTGATAAAAGGCTAACATGTCATTGCGATGAATATAAATATATATATATATACACACATAGAGAATGTGTATCAATACACAAGCAGGATAAAGGCTTACTTGGATTGCCGCATCAACGCGTGCACCCTTTTCCACTAGAATCCTGCAAGTGAAGAGCCCATCCAAAGCAGTTGTTTGTCACACGTGCAATGATTGCAAAATGCATAGTGAATATCATGCAAACTGAACCTGACCAAATTGGACCGCTGGTGTGTTGTGTTACTAAGCCTCATCCTAAAGTAAACACGTAGACGAGATACTTCTGCAACTAACTATATGCCTATAAACATATTGTACCTATCCACAGAAGCCTCCGCGACATCCGTTCGCAAGAAACCTAGAAACATGACCAACGTGTTTGTCACCCTCAAATGGATGGTGGCATTGATGAAACCTGATCAATCACTGTGAATCCCAGTCGCATCACCTCGAGTCCTCCAAGCGGGTGTCAATTACGCGCAAACAGCTTTTGCTTGATGGAAGGTAAATAAGTTTCAAAGGAATTCCAGCACCGTCTTTGCAACTCTTTCGCCCCTCTTCCATCGACTGTCTCCATTTCTCATGGCCTTGGAGGAGGATGACATAACCATCAGACTAAAAGTGGTGAATAGAATAATAAATCCAAACATGTGTACAGCCTGGCTTCTCTTTCTCGTGTATTATCTCATTCAATCCTCATCCCGCACTCTCTGTTACCGCTACAGCATACAAGAGTGAGGGAGTGATGAGAGATGAAAGATGTCAATTTCCTTCCAAGATTCTAGTTGCAAAGGAAAGAAAGAACTGGGATGACATCAGAACATGCATATTTGGTTCCCTTTGGGAATTTCTGTTCCTTCCCATGCCAGCTCTATGCCACCCCCAAAAACAGATTAATAATTCACAAAATACCAAGATGAAGAGAATCATGGCGTGACATAAAAAAAGCTCCTGGCCTCCGTAAATGAAATATGGGGCAACCACACTGACGGGCGGCAACCATACTGTTTTTGGTGCGCGGCCATGTGAGAGAAGTCTGCCAGGAAAATGGCCCGATCTGAAAAACGCACAACAACTCAAAGAAAAACAGAAATCAATAAAGAACACGATCCCCGAGACAAAAGGTATTGGGCATCACCAACACATTGCCTCAGGACTTGTTTTGAGGTTTGCCTCTTTGGCAAATGGGAGACCTTACAGGATGGCTCAGAAACAGGCACATGAGGAATTGTTTGTCTTCGGATTCCTCGCAAAGTACTTTGTTTGGTAAATGTAGCCCAAAAAAGAACAAACACACCACTCAGACCATTGGTTTCTGATATGTGTATGCCGTTTGGGAATCCTTTTGGATATCCGTTCACCATCCAACGAAGAACGCAAAGTACACCAGCCACACTGACGAGTTCCCTTTTGCTAAGCCCAAATGACACACCTCAGGCGCTGGAATGCCACCCCCACCGCAAGGCAGCTTCGGAGCCAGCGCATGCGGTGCACCCAAAAGATCACAAAGGCCGGCTCAAAGGGCTTCTCGGTCCTGACGTGCGCGCTCTTTCTGACCCTTTGCCCTGAAAAACGTATCTTCAAGTTGCTGAGTCAGTTTTCAACAAGGTTGCAAGTGGTAGGATGCTAGAGGTCAAACCAAAGAGCAAGCAAGATCACCAACATTCAAACGTATGAGACGTACCAGATGCTATACAGCTAGCTGAGGGCTCCTGAAGGTTAGCAAACTTAGGGGGTGTTCGTTTGGTTTGTCGCGGGAAACTGACGGACTGCCCTGGAGTTTGAATGGACATCCCGTAAGCAGGGTTTCAGCAGGATCTCAACACCGCAACATTGTGACCCTATATACTAATCAAAGTGGCGGATTGATAGGGGGTGTTTCTTTGAACAAGAGATATCCTACAAAAAGTGACGCCCTCCTACGTCCACATCTTTGGGCCACGAGTTGTCACGATGGCCTTTTGGGATCAATATCCGAGCCGGTCCCAGGATGGGATCCAAGAGTTCACGCACATGACCTCTATCATGAATTTGGAGTCTCCTGGAAGACCCATCTAGCGATGGCTTGAGGCTCCTTCCATTAGTCAGGAGAGTTGGTGGGAATGTCCAAGCTCCTCTCTCGTCCCTTTCCCCCTAACTAAACAACTGCTCCCCCCCCTCCAGTTTTTACAACAATTGAAACACATTCCTGTTGATTTTTAGGGGTTCCGGGATGTTCCGGGTTTGGGGTGTCAAGTCTCGTGTTTTGTTCACTTCTGGGTGGGTCCGGTCATAAGCAGCCAAAAAAATGGTCCAGAGAACGGACGGAGTCTCGCCCTTTCGGGGCCCGAAAAGGTTCACAAATGGTGGGTTTCTCAGTTGGTGGGAGGAGCCGAAGCCTGTTCTGTCTTTAGTATTGCGGACTGCTGGGGGTTTGACTTGGTGAAACCCCTCCTCTACACAGGACACGTCCAAGAGGAAAACCATCTTCCAGGTACCCTCCAACGGGAGCTATGTTTGTTGGAGGGAGGGCATTCTTAGGAAATGATTTACGTGACTCAGGCCTCAAGGCCTGCCGCTCGTTTCGGTCGCACCGGAAACAAGCATATTTGCCACTCGGAACCACTTCCTAAGACCAACCGGCAAAGAACAAAGTCAACAGTTTCCAGCAGATCTAACGGGTAGTTCAGCAATTCGGTTCAACGACCGAAGGAATCCCCTTTAAATTGAAGAAGCCGTGTCTGAAATGGGAGAGGTCTAGAAAAACAAAGCAAATTTCAGTCCATGCTGGGTTTGCTGTTGTACAGAAATGCCAAGTCAAGCAAGCAAACTCATCCCCCCCCCCCACACCACACCCCCCTCCAGTTCGCCATGAGGATGTCGGCTCGCTGTGCGCCCGTCAGCTCGACAAAGGCCTGCACATCTCCAAAGCCGCCACTTCCGCCGTGGCAGGATTTCATTGGCGTATCAGTTGGGTCCTGTCTGGGTCCACTACATTCTATGAAGTTAGGCTACCTGTCATTGGCGACTGAAGCGCAGCTTCAACGGGTCTGCGTATGTGGCTAGCCGGGGAAAAATGCAGAACCCGCCATTGAAACCGAAGTTGCTGGCTGCTTCAGTTGCAAAGCTAGACTCAGGCATGGATTTGTCTCCGACTGGAAGCCCCATGAGCAGGTTGAGGCGGCATTTTTACCAGCCCCGGCTCAGCACAAGTCCTCTAAACAGGTTGGCTGGGAACCCTTGCTTCACACTTAGGGGCAAGTTGTGAGGGTGTGCGGCTGGTTGTGCGAGTTTGGGCTGGTTTTGGTGGTTGTGGCAGGACCGTTTTGGGTTTACAGTCGATTCGCCTCAAGCATCTAGACAACAAAAATATAGCCATGATGTGAACTAAAACTATGGCTGTAGACGGCGCCCCCAACCGCGTCCCAAACAGAACCCACCATGCGTGGCTGTGTCAAAACATGTCCGCGGCCTTCCATGCTTCCCGAAGGACATATCATAGAACTAGTCCTTCTGAGTGTTGTCTGATGTTCTCTGGCATCCCTGCCAAACGGTGATTCCCTTTCCACATCCAGGCAATTTTGATCACTGGCAATCCCATCCGTCTACATCAGGGTTCCCTCTGCGGCGCATCCTAGCGAACGCGTCCAACGGAAAGCCTCAGTCCTGACTTGGGCTGCCGGCAGCAACTTAGTGCAAGAACCAAACGCTTGTATCTTTTGGGTCGTTGCTGGCAACATAGGAAAACGAGCAAAGAGCAGGAGATCAGTATACCAAACTCTTGTCTTCCCGCGGAGGCAAATAATTGGAATCAAGTTTTTGGCGTCCACGCGATGTATACACTGGGCAAAGCCAACCCCCGAAACACAGCCGGCCTGCTCACGCCATGCAATCTTCAGAGGAATTCACCAAATCACACTTCAAGTTTGTTCTGAAAACCAATCCAAATCAGGAGCCAGCTTTGGCCCATAGGGGCAGAGCTCTTTTTCCTATCCGCGCCTCCGTGTGGTCCTCGTTCTCCCAGGACCCCGTGAGGCTCTTGGCGGCGCCCCCCAGGAAGCCCCGCACTTTGTCCCCCGCGCCCTCCAGGCGCGGGTCTCATGCGTCGAACATGCCACCCGGTGGACGTGACATGGACCCCGAGCTTGTCCAACATGTGGCCATGGGTCAAAAGCCGGTACCCCCAGTGAACATCCCAATCCCCACTCAAATGGACTAAAATGGGTGGTGCACCTACCCCAAAATGGTAATTACCATTGACCCACAGCCATGTTAGGCTTTCCTTGCATGAACTCCGCAGCGCTGTTCAAGCAGCCGTGGGAGAGTCGGAAAAAAAATGAGCCACGGGTGCAAATGGAGGAGTGTTTCGCAACATAGGACCCCGGCGCCTGCCATGTTCGCTCCGAAGGAAGTTGGTAGCACAGCACGCAGTTCTGTAACAAGGAAATTTCATGGAGAAGCTGAGAGCTTGAAGGAGGACGCTGCGACTTGGTGTTGGCAAATGGGTGATGCGTCTGCCTCCACTCATCCGACTGCACGTTGACCCTGCTCGCTGCATGCTGGCCCATTTGGCAAGCGCCCGGGCTTCCGCTGGAACAAGCGCACAAGTAGGCTGGCAAGGAGCTCGGGGAGCAAGTGGCGCGAAGCGTGCTGGTTTGATTTTCTAGCTCGCTTGGTAGTTCAGTCACGGAGCGCCCGGTCAATTCTTCAACTCTGTCTGCAGTATGCCTGCTGGTAACTGGTGTTTGTTTTGGTTTCCCTTGAAACATCCCAAATGAGGTATTATGCAACTGCGATTCGTAGTGGGCACAAACGGATCGCCAAAGCTCTTTCTGGACGAAAATGGGGGCCGGGCGGAATCCGCGTGTCTTGGCCTTTTCGGGTTGGTATCCTTTGCCTCAGCTGGAACCACGTGTTGGAAGGCTGTACAAAATTGGACTGACGCTCCGGGGTCCATACTCAACGGAAGGCTGCCCAACGAATCTCCCACACCCGAGCAACTTGGAAGCAAGGCTTGTCAAATCTGTGCACGTCTCTGTTATGCTCTAAACACTGGGCTTCCCTCAGATCCCCTGCTAAAAGTTTAACTTTTAGTGGGTCAAATGGAAACCCCCACTAAACAATAAGAGTCTAACAAGGTAAAGGTATGGCTGGGAGCCAAGAACAGATATGCCGCACATACCTTCCAGCTTGACCTGGCGTTCAAATCGGGAGATCGTTTCACTGTTAAAGGCTTCGGCCCACCTTCCGCATGAGCGCACCGTAGGCCGCCCGTGCAAAGACAGAGGCCAGAGCAGCGCGTGGAAGGAAGCCCTGCAGCAACTGTGGTGGTTCTTTGCGGAGTCTTCCTCTGGTTTCAAAGGGCAGTGGGAATGTCTACAAAATAGGAGAACCCTGCGAATGGTTCGTTGCCCTGGTTCCCTTCTGGGGGTATGATTCATGATTCTCAATTGAAAGGACTTCGGGGGACACCTGTTCCAACCATTGAAATCTCGGTGCATCCTGACACCGACCGACCCACACAACATATTTGGGGGACACGCAACCCCCTTTGGGAAACCGCTACAAATTGCCGCAAGTGCCGTGCAATTACTGGGGCAAATAACATGTCCATTGTGCAAAATGTCCCAGGCGCACAACAGAAACATCCCCGCGCTAGCATTTAGGCATGACTTCAAAGACGCTTGCAAGGTAGTGCAACTGAGTTGAATGAAAACAATGTCGACTCGCCTATGGCTTCTGCTGATATAACAATCATGCCAAACTCTGAAGTAGTCCACTCCGACAAAACAAACACATCTGGGTGAGCTCGCTTAAACCCCCTCGCCCCTCGTTCAGTGAGCATGCCATGCGAAAACTGGGCGGAAAAGTCTTCCAGAGCCGACACAAAACATCGACCCTGCCTGGCCCGAAATGTCATCTGGATGGCCCTGCCGGAAAATGCCGAAAAAGGTGGGGCGAACGCTGCCAACAACCTGCATCAAAGCTTGCCCTTTGAACCCCTCGCGGACCCAACAAAAAAAGCTTCAAGAAAGTCTCTAAGCACAAGGACGCTTACTTAAACTTCAAACAGTTTCCCTCCAAAGGAAAACCATGGTGACCAAACAACTTTTGGTTCGCGTGCGCGAATTTTGGACCCTGGCCGCAGCGAGTGCCCTTCACGCCATGCGCAATTTGTCCTCAGTCCCACTGTCGGCCTGCTGGCCAAGCGCACAGGCAGACTCGTTCTCCACTGGCTCAAAGGCGGCGATGTATTCTTCATAGCGCCTTCGTCAACTTGGCACTGGAGGGGGGGTCTGGCCAAGCCGGGTCACTCCCAAGCCAGCCAGCTATGGATCGCAACCCAGGAGGACTTGAGCGCCTTGCTCGCCCAAGGTCGACTGTGTATCTCTTTGGTAAGTGAAACAGCCTCGCTGGTGCACATCTATGTGCAATTTACTGGCACCAAGTTCTCATCCCAACTTCCAACTGGAAGAAATGGCCCCCCTCCATACGTCAATCCCTTCCCCCTAGTACATAACCCCGCCCCCCGCCTCGCAAGTTCCGCAGCAGAGCAATATTTATGCATGGAGTACTGCACCAGCTGCCCCGGACGGGTGCGGCTTCGGTCCGAATGGTTCAAGGCACTTTTTTAGCTTTACAAGTTCAAAATTGAAAAAAAAAAAACATTTGATACAATTTAACAATTGAACTTGGGAGCCAATGGAGACCCTCCGAAGTACGATTGAAGTTGGGGTTGCTGGACATATGGGAGTTTAGAACTGGGGCACAGGGGAAACCAAAGCGGCGCTGCACAGGCACCTCTGATGCTCCGGATAAAGTCTGAAGGGCAGGCTCGGGTCGGACAGAATGCTGAGGATGTCACCTAACACTCGAACTCAGGCCGATCGCTGGCGACCAACGAAGCTTAAACGCGTGGCCGCAATTTGCGCTAGTTTGAGTACATAGAGTAATTGAATCTATGTATATATGTGAGGGACTGCCGAAACCTCTTGCTTGGCCGTAGTCGAGATCTTGAACAGGGATCCTTACATTCTACACCTGAACATTGCCTTGTAAATGGTGGTTTCCCTTTATTCGGGTGGAAAAAGCCATGCTTCAATTGGGCAAAATGTATCGCCCTGCTGAGGCTAGCAGATTTGGAGGGCCCTTATCGTTCTACAGTGTTTCAACACACCCACACCATGTTCGGAACATTTCAGTACCAGGTAGTATGCAAAGTACACTTCCGCAGCTCCAGCTCGAAAATCACAACTTTGCAACACAAGTCTAGTACGCGAAGTACAATTATGCAGCTCTGTTTTGGAGGGGTCCTTATATTGCTGCAGGGTTTCGTGCAGTTCGGACATGCAATTAAACCCCTCTTGATCGTCTTGATAAAGCGGTATGCGCAGGTTTTGGCCGTGGCTCATATATAAAAAATGATGGAACAGAGATTTGCCAACATGCTGTTCCCCGTGGCAGGCGGGTCCTGAAAGTAAATCGACAGGATTCGAAGCTTAGTCCCCTTTTCCAGCTTTAACTTCGTGAAAACGAGGGCTCCCAACAGAGGGCCAAGCCACACCAGAAAGTGGGTCACACCTCGCAAAACGTGCGCCCTGGCGTTTTCGATGCAACCTCTGCACACCAATATGTCCACCTGCCCGAAATAATTATGAGGCACTTCAGTGATTTGTATAGCGGATCCCAAAGAGCTGCGGTGAGGCCGCAAACCCTTTTATGAGACTGCTATAACTTGCACGGATCTGTGCGAGGAGCAACTAGCCATCCTGCTTGTTCAACAACCAGCACTCTGCTGCTTTATGCGCAGGATAGATCAAAGACCTGCAAAAAGCCACAGCCCGCTTGAAACAATTGCGTCACTCTTCCCATGCACGCCTAAATCACCGAATCCTAACGGAGAAGATGGACTCCATCTCAATGACTGTATGCAAAATTGAATCCACCACAAAGCAAAGAACCTTCGCTGGTATTTCCAGTCGCAACCATAATCCAGCAAGGTGTTCGCTCCTCTTTAATCCGGCTGAGCATCTCTTCGATCTCTTGCCCAGGTTGGTCATGAGCAAAGTTCGCAGCATATCCAGGGCCTGCGTTGTGCAGGCCAATCGGGCCCCCCTTCTGAATAGCTTTGGCTTCCCTCTACGCATGTTTGTTCCACCCCAGCCAACGCTCAGGTGGACTTTTGGCTACAGAAAAAAAGGGCCTATGCTTGCTCCTGAGTCAGCGGAGTCACATAGTTGAATTCAGCCAAGACAACTCGAGCTCTGCGGGACAGGGAGAACCAGCCGTCGTGAATTCCCTTGTTTGATCAGCACACATTCGCTGACACGTAACACTAGCTTGCTGAGCACGTTTGCCGACAAACAACAAACATAAACAACAGCAATGATGCCAGAACATTCCACTTAGTCAGCTGAAAGCCAGAGCTAATGAGAAGGAAGTGGTAGGTTCCAAGATCCAAAATGCTGAACCAGTTGCTGTTTACTACGACTGTGCCGAAAAACTCAATGTGGGATCTCGACCAGTCATCGAAAAGAGAGCGCATGTTTGCAATACCAAACAATGGATGGTTGTCTGCCATACCATGAGCCAAGGGCCCAAATCGGTCAAGCCTGGCATCCGCTTGGCATGCCCGGTGGCATACAGCCCAATGCATTTCCCCGCAGGATTACCTTTCCAATGGAAACCATGAGGGAAAGAGGCCTTCCTATGATGGATTTGTGGATGCCTCAAATCCAGAGACCCCCCCCTTGTCAGGCCATGTTTGAACAAAGAATCTAGCTGGGTGTTGTTTTTAGGGTTCCTTTTTTGGCTGGTTTGAAAGGGAGACCAACCGAAAACCACACTCTCTTCTTGCTTTCTGTCTTTCTGTCTTTCTTTTACTACTCCTGACTCAAGAGTAAAGGCGGCTTGTGGGAGGCAGGAAAGGGAGGGCAAATATCTCAAAATCAGCTCGTAGGTTGCCCTCCTTTTGGAGTGTCACGTCCGAGGAACCATTTTGGTCTCAACGTCACATGCCGCGCGGCCTCGGCCGATGCCTCGGTGTCCTCTTTGATGCGCTCCGCCGTTTCCGCCATAGCGACACATCGGCACGCTCGAAAGCCCGGAACTTTCGGGGAAACCGCGGCACAGCAGAACTCCGCTTCTCATGTGTTCGCGTCTTCGCAAAGTAAACCAAGCACAAACTATGGGAACTTGCAGAGGGGGTCTTCCTTTGTGCCCTACTTGCAAAATTTTTAGGTCATCCACCGTATGGCTAAAGATCTGAGCTGTGGAGGAAATTGGTCACGCCGAAGCTCAAGATCCTCGAATCAAGCGGATGGCCGGCAGTCCGGGGGGGAAATTTACCGCTTGCAACCAGCACCGGCCCACTCGGGAACGGGACAAAGCCGTGCCTCACAGAAAAGCTCTTATCCTAGCTAGTGTCTTAGGCTATTAGGGGATTCATTTCAAGAGAAATGAGTATGAGCTGAATCTAGTCTCACGTTGGAACAAAGGAACTCGAAGCACAGCACTAGGCAGGTGTCAAAAGCAAACAAAACAGTTGCAACGTGAGATTCTGTTCTGTCAGGTGAATCTAGGAAATGGAGCACACAAGCACCTGCATAGTCGTGCAGCTCTGCTAGTTTGCAGAACTGGTCGGCCGCAACCATAGTGCAGCTATGTGGATGACAGCTGTCGCTGCAGTCCTTTTTGAGCCAAATCCAAGGCAGCATCTTGTTTAGAAACTGGTCAGAAGCTCTGACTACAACCAGCTGTGCGCAACAACGGAATTCTCATCAAGCCCAAACTGGTTCTACTAGCAACAAGGCCATATGTCATAAAGGCTTGAACACGCATCACTAGAATCCCCAAGAAACTAGGCGGAACCTACTCACCGGGCGTGCTACGATCGCCCAGCCAGTGGGTCAGACCTCTTAGCATCCCGTCGCAGCCCCCAAGGTCCTTTTCATGGAGCTTCTTCAGGTATTGCGCGACATGGCCAATCCTGACACGGACACCCTCCTCCCAAAGTCCAGGAATCCCGAAGTAGTCAAGGAAGTAACTCTCGGGTCCGGTCCAACTCAAAAATCGAGTGCCATGAGCCAAATATTGGAACCCTCTCTTTGTGTGGTCCCCAGACACTGACATCCCTCCTCTGCGCATCCAAATACTTCTCCACCACATAGGAGGGCTCCAGCGGCAAGCCGAGATCTACCGTCTTCGCATAGATCTGTAGCGCCTGCGAACACCCTCAAAGCGTGGACATAAAGCCGGGCCCATACGAAAATGACCACCAAACTCTTCAACGCTCCCGATTGAAATATAGCAACAAAAGAGACCTGGGACAAACGGTTGTGATCAAAGTGACAAGTCCTCACAACTTTTGAACCTGAACCCCGGGTTGATTTCCGCTAGGCGTGTCCAAAGTGATGCCATTTGCGGAGGTAGGACGCGGTTGGGAGCCTTGTTGCCAGTCTCAAAATAGGTATCTCCCATACCCCTGCCCCCCCCAAAAAAAAACAAAGGATAGTGTTGATTGATTCCCTTCCAAAAACAAACTAAGAACAAGTGCCATCAAAATTGAAGCACTGCCAAAGACAGGTGCAAAAGAGCATTGACCGAATTGTGGGTCCCTAGACTCGATTTCAAAAACAGGTGGACTTTTGCATGGCTGCTTCGTGTTAGTTCCCTGGAGAACCCAATCATGAGCAAAAAAGGTATCAACTCTTTGGAATTGGAAAACAACAAAAAAGGAAATCCCGAAATAAGCTAAAATACCCGCATCCTTTGGAATTTCAGCGTTTGTTTCGGAGAAAAAGGCACCGTAAAAAGCCTTCAGAAAGAGCTTCAATTTTCCGTTGCGCGCCCGTGCTGCAAGTTTGGTTCAACGTGGCCAAACTTGCGGGTGTCATCCAAAACTGAATGTCTCGCCGAGCATGCCAACACACTGTCAATGCGGGAAGAACAAACAAGCTATGTCGAGCTTCCTTCTTGACCGATTTGAACAACACCGACAAGATTTAAAACAAGGTGACGCAAAAAAGTGACATGCACGTGGAATCACATGGCCCAGGTAGCATGAGTTCGGACCATATTATGCCGGACAAACTGCGGAGCTTTTGGTTTTTCAATGGAAACCCCTAATGTTGTAAGAATTCGTGCAAGCAAAAAGTGTTGACTGTCTGAATGGCTACGCTGCTACATAATGCCGTGGCATGCCGTGGCGTGGCCTGCTCAACCAGCCAGTCAAGCACTTTCAAGCAAAGAGATGCGGTTTAGCAGCGCGCCGGCAATTTCCGTCATTTCGACGCGCATTTCCGCAATTTCGACGCGTATTCCGCCATTGTTTTGGAATCCGAATTTCATGAACATTTCTCACTGGTACATTTGCAGGCATTGTTTGATTGATTTTTAGATGATTGCCTTAAAATTAGGAAGGAAATGTCAAGTTGCTAGACGAAGGAGTTAGGACTTGGAATTTAGTTGAAAAATCACAAAACATGATATGGCAAGTAAGGTCTAATATTGCCTTTTTGCATGGATGAAAGGCTTGGGAACCATCATGCCAAAATCCACTAGGAAGGCCCTGCCTGCATTCATACGTGCAGTTGCTCACTAAAATGCTTGGTGTTTTCTCGCTGGGCAAACGTGCGTGCGTGTTTTGCATCCTGACCGAGCTTGAATGTTTCCGCATTGCGCCGGGGAAGGCAAATAGCATGAGCCATTGTGATGCTAAATGACTCCGTAGGAGCTCGTCCATCATCGTTCCAATGACTCACGCAAGCTGGAAACACAGCACTGCGCAGGGCACGGGCGTTGGTTCCCCATGCGACGCATGCCCAAATAGAAGTATAACCCTGAATCTTGCGCTGAAACACTGTCTGACACTGCCTGAATATTGCTCCGCGCTGCTCCTCCCACCCCACAAATAAGGAAACGTAATTGTTACAGAAAAAAAAGATGAGTTCTTAAAAAAACCGGTAAATTTCTGAAAAATGTATTTTGTCTTAGCGCTTTGGGTTCTGCAGGTCCATGTGAAGCGGAACGCGCGAAGGCCCGGCTTTTGTTTTGTTTGCACCTTGGAACGCTTGCATCAAATTTCTGTAGGCTGGATGACCACTGCAAGCAGCTTACCTTCGCCCAATCAAGTCTTGATTCCAGTGAGCCCCGCTCAAGTGGGTGAGGGTTTCTCTGAATGTGCGTGACTCGTACTGGTCAGAAAGCTCAATGGAAAACCCATTCGAGCACCCCTGGTACCCATTCAATCGTATTGCCTGACCGCACATCAATAGAACTGCAGTCCAGGAGAGCGTGGCCCTCGCATGAGTCTTGAATCAGCGAAACACCGCGAGGTCCTTCGGGTTTACTTACCAAACAAATTCCCACTCTGGAATTGGATTCAAGATTCATCTGAGTGCCCCCTCAATTCTCAAGTGAGCGTTGGTTTTATTTTCTACAAACTTGCTTGGACAATATTCAAGCTTCCGCGGACCCTTCCGCATCCTTGCCGCAGGCCAAGAGGTCCCTTCCAGCTAATGAGAACTAATTCGCGCGCGCACACGTGCGCGAGCACGCACGCGCACACGCGGCGCGCGCGAGCGCGCACGCAAACTTCCGCGGCACATGTGTTTCATTGTTTGCCTCCGCAAACCTTCCGCGGCGCATGGTTTGCAAGATTTTCTTCCGCGAGTATTGGCGCAGAAAGGAAAGACATTTTACGTAAGGTAGTGTTTCGCCGCAGCCTGTGTAGGCTTGGGCTCCATTGGGCTACCCACGCTACGTGGGCACTTGCCTGCAAAGATGGGGCCACCCTTCCGCGGAGCTTCCGCGCAAGCCTTCCGCGAAATACGCCGTCTGTTTTGGTCTTCTTGGCTTGCTGTTGGCAACTGCTCTTCTAGTAAGCGTTGCGTTTCTTGTACGCAGCAACACCTGTCTTCTTCTACTGTAATCGTTTCTCCGTGCTTTTCCATTGGCAAACTGAAACACTTAATGTCATATAAGCCACCTTCCGCAAACCTTCCACGAAGAAATGCCTTCCGCAAAGCCTTCCGCATGCTTCCGCGCGTGTGGCGCGGTGCACATTTTCAATAATGATGTCCCTCTCTCTACTAAATTAGCTTGCGGCCAAAAAAACGGCGCTCAAGTGCACAATCACCCCCCCCCTCAGATTAGGCTGGACCTGGCCAGTCCTCTCCAGTCCTTTCCTGTGTGGACCCCTGCCTGGCCAACAGAACTGCCAAAGGAAAATGAAAGGATATTGCAGTTTATGTTCCAGGGCTGGAGAGGGCCAGGACTAGTCAAAGGAAATTTGTGCTATTGAGGGGGGCTAGCCTTGAAGGGGGGACCCTTTACGAGCTTGTTAAACAATGGAAAAACTGTAATGAGAACTCGTCTGTTTCTGGCTAGCCGTTAAATTGACTTCTGGCAAAATAATGATTGGCAAAGGCTTTGGCGATTGAAGATTTCGTTCGATGCCTTTTTCAAATTTGGGCCGGAAAGGGACGTATTGAATCAGAGAGGGTTTGCGTGCGTGCCTGCGTGCGCGCGGGCGGGCGGGCGGGCGGGCGTGTGCGAACGCGCGTGCGCGTGCGCTGCGCGTGCGCGTGCGCGTGCGCGTGCGCGTGCGCTGCGCGTCCGCCTGTGCGCGTGCGCGTCTGTGCGCCTGTGTGTGTGTGTGTGTGTGTGTGTGTGTGTGTGTGTGTGTGTGTGTGTGTGTGTGTGTGTGTGTGTGTGTGTGTGTGTGTGTGTGTGTGTGTGTGTGTGTGTCTGTGTCTGTGTCTGTGTCTGTGTCTGTGTCTGTGTCTGTGTCTGTGTCTGTGTCTGTGTCTGTGTGTGTCTGTGTGTCTGTGCGAGCGAGCGTGCGTGCGAGCGAGCGTGCGCGCATGCGTGCGTACGTGCGTGCGTGGGTGTGTGTGTGTGTGTGTCATGCGCGGTGCCATTGTCTTCATAGGTCCCCCACTTGAGGCCCCCACTTGGTCATAGGCTCGCTTCTCGAAAAGCGCGTCCCCGTGCAATTTGTAGATCTCAGCCGTCACCTGATATGCCCAGGCGCTCGGAAGGAATGAGTTGCTCTCCAGCCTAATTGACGTGAAACCATCCTCTGCCACATCTGGCAGCCAGAAGCGCAAATCCGTCGGAGCAACGAGCAGACAGAGATTCCAAGGCAGTACGCTTAGCAACTCTTGGTCTGGGATCAAAGTGAAACAGAGCTTACATGGAAGCTTTGAAGGCTTATCAGCCAAGCCCAACTTTTGAGTCCAACTTTCTGGGTAAATTAGTCCTCTTGAGGGGCGTTGGCGCCAAGCCGCGTGCCCGCCGATGGCCTTCGTTTGTTCAAGCCCGGGGCCAATGTCCCAAGACCCTCTGCTCGGGAAAGCAGCCTTAACACAGGGCATTTCAAGTGGCCAAGTCTTGCAACCATCAAACTGATGCCTGAACAAAAATTGACCCTTCAGGTTCCAACTAAGACCGAGAAAACGCAAGCCCTGGTTCCCACAGGCCCCTAGTACCCTGGTTGAAACGTCAAAACCTGAAAAGGCTGATTGTATGGCCCCATGCCTGAACCCATGGCAATTTTGAACATCATCGTAAATAGTTAATAGTCTGATAAAAAAAGAGAAAATAACATACCAAAACTTCATATATGGATATGCACATTCATTATTTGACTTCTTGCACTGCTGCTCAAAATGCATATATCACATGCGCAAATATCCGAATGCGGGCATGATGATGGCTCGCGAAATAGCGATCCTTATCATTGCGTTCAACATTGCCGATTAAGGGGCTTACCGCCCCGTCCAAATTCAGCTTTAGCATTGAATCTAGGTACCCAAAAGCACGGGTTCCCTACGGAGGGAACCTTCACATCGATGATGTGGCAACACGCTTTGTGAGCTCACTATGTTTTGCCCAGCATTCAAGCACCCTTAAGGTTTCTTATTTGTCCAGAAGGTTCCCTTGGTGACTCTTGCTTTATTTCACAATGGGTCAGGATTTACACAAACAGCAACACGGTGCACTGCGCATATTCTGCCCTTTCCACAAGAGCCGGTCATTGCCGAACGCTCTGCTCTTGCACAGGGCCCACTGGGCACACTTCAAAGGGTGATCTCCAATTCCGAGGGCAAGCAAAAGGATAGCATTCAATTGAACCAGCATCTCAAGGGTTGGGGCGATGCGCATAGAGGGTGGCTCCCTTATATGAAAACCATCTCAACGCACAAAACAAGATATGTGAGTTTCTATGAACAAGTCGTGCCTAGTCTTCATGGACCACAGCTCGTAATTCTATGGGTTAAACATGTAAAAGTAGCAAAGCCTCACGGTTCGTGAAAGTCAGCTGCCTCACTCACACGCAGCCATTGACAGTGGCAAGCAACAGCAGACTATATAATACGTGCCTCTGGATCTGCATCACTTGTCAGAGCAACCTCGGCCACACGTGGCGCGAAGTCCCTGCCACTGTCCCCAAGGTGTTTGCCATTTCAGATTGATCCAAGGCCCCTTCACTCGCTCTTCACATGCCATCGTTGCTCAACGACAAATATCTCTCCCACCTTAAGGTCCAAAGCACTGAAACGGGCGCAAGCTTCGAACAAACTTCGCAAGAAGGCTGGTATTGGTGATCAAGAAACCGGGCCCCTTATATATATATATTGTGATTGGCTTCACCTGGTCAACTTAAACAAACTTAGCACGTGCATTTGAGGCATCCATGGAATCCACAGCGAGCTGGCGCAAGATGTCGGCAGGCAAAGCACAGGCGATGGTTTGTCTCCTTTCGGTGCGGTTCTCCCAGGAGACAAACCGCTCCTCGCTGTCAGTCGAAAACCTGCGACTCGAAGAGCAGAGTCTGTTGTTAAAGAAGCCAACCCACTGGACAAAGTTGCTGGATCAATACACGTTCAGACTCCACGCAGTTGTTCAGTGACCCTGGAAAAAAGGGAACCCTTTTTTGGGAAGACAACTTTTAGTGGGGCAGCCACCAAAAAATAGGGGAAAAAAGGGTGCCACTGAACAACTGAGTCCACAAGCCGAAAAGCTACACCTTCACCAGGCAACACAGTTCTGTTGCTTGATGCTTGAATGTGGGGAAGACGAAGTAATTAGACGAGATGCATTGAGCTTCAAACATGAAGCCTCTAAGCTCTGTTGGCCTGGAGTCACATCAATTGATGGGATTTTGCCCAAGTGCCCTCCTGCCCTTGCCGAGTAGAACGAGCCAGGCGGCTTCTGCCGCCCACTCAAACATGCGCTTCTTCTTGAGCACATCCTTGGCGGGCCCGCTACCAATGAGGGGGACTGAACAAAGCCCTGTGCTCTGAACACGGAACCTCTGTTCAAAAGAAACCGAAGATCTTCCATCATTCCGACAGGCTCCTTGCCGGGGAGGGCAATGGGTATCCACCGTGAAACATCCACCGTGTTTTCTGCACCAAATCTTGACCGCAAACCTCTTGCAGGCTGGCCTTCTGGTAGTTCCTGCTTGCCGACCGATCTGGCTCTGATGTTCAATCTCGAAATACCGGCTAACAAAATGGCAAACACCCCCTGGGGCAGATTCTCAAATTGGTGTCACAATCGCCAAAGGACCATGCACACACATGCATGTGTCCTACCCATTTAACTTCCAAATAAAGTTGGATTCCTATTGGTTCCCTTAAGCACCAACCAAATGGGACAGCCAGTCTTGGGACACACAAACACACACGCACGTGCGCGTGGGTGGTGGTCCCGCTTTTTTAGCCGACCCGAAGAGCCACTATGATTGATTGCCAAATAGCCTCTAAGGACAGACTGAGGAAGGAAAGAACTCAGCCTCAAACAAGTGCGCTATCTGAAGTGCGATGAGTCCAACCAAAACATATCAGCTTAAATGAACCCCCAAGGCAGTTCCCCAGTGCCACGTGGGCTGAAAGGATGATGGCATTGTTCTCTTTCACCAAAGCAATGGGCACTCAACTGGCTGATGGTGGGTGCCACTGCTGCAAACTTGCGAAATTCAATGGCCAGCTGCTTTTTGTCTAAGTTTGATCAATCGAGAGCATCACCTCTCCAAGTGGCATGCAGCTTTCAATAAATGTGACTATCCTCACCCAATCCTGCTTGCCACACTGCCAAGCTCTAGCATCAATTCTCCGCAAAGCCTCAACAACCGGACAACTCCACAGTGCGATTCATGAAGGCTACGTCTGCATGTCTTTGAAGATACAGCTCGCATGCACCTGCACACAACACACAACAACACAACACAGCGCAACACACCACACCACACCACACCACACACGCACACCACACACACACACACCCCACCCACACACACACTCCCCACCCACACACACCACACACACGCAGACACAGACACAGACACAGACACAGACACGAACACACACAGACACACAAACACAGCACAGACACACAGACACACAGACACACAGACACACAGACACACAGACACACAGACACACAGACACACAGAGACACAGACACACATCCACCCACCCACCCACCCGCCCGCACGCCCACCCGCCCACCCACCCACCCACCCACGCACGCACGCACGCACGCACGCACGCACCCACACACACACATCGAAGGAAGCGCGCGTCGTCTAAAGTCCAGCATGACAGTGCGCAGCGCAGCGACACTTCTGGAGAATTACACATTGTCCCTTGACAGCATGTGCCACAGGCTTTGTGAGGACCTTAAAGGCCTGAAGCGGCGCACACGCTTCAAAACCCAATGAAGCCCCTGAACACGTCCTTCAGACAGGCTCGTCTGTTTGCAAACCTTCCGCCCCACCGATGATGTTTGCAAACTTGATGCTGTGAACATCACCTTGACAATGTGGTCGAAGCTGGTGCTCGGGCGCTATGGCTCCCTTTTAGGAATGTATTCATGCGTGCCGATACTCCCGTTTTGAGGGTTGATAGCCACCACATAGTGATGTTCTGACCAGTCAAGTCTTTAGATGTCAAAAGAGAACCCTCTCTCCCTCCAACTGCGCATGATTGGGGCGGGGCCCGGTTTGCTTCGCAATAGCACGGGTCAGAGCATTTGTCAATGTGCCAAAACTTGCTCGAGATGTTCAAACAGCCTTCCCCGCCCATGTAGCACCAGAATCAAGCTGGTCGGCGGCCAACCAAGGTCGTTTCAACACACATGTCCAGGAGCCACTCCATAGTCCACCAAACAAACATCGCCAAACAGTAGGGTGGGGCCATCCATTGGTTTAAACATGTTTAAATCACTGGTTATGATGATTCTTCCCTTGTAAAGGTGGTGTTGAAACCATATTTTGCCCCACCCAGCCAAACAGAACACCGCCAGCCCCCACCACCGAAAAGAACGAAGGCGTCGAAGGGGCCAGCCGCTCTTCGAGCGGCTTCTCCCGGAGCTCAAAGAGCACCTGAGATGAGGCCAGGGGCAGGGGCGGGTTCTTGAAGGTTAACAGACCAGGGGCCTTTGGCCAAAAACATGGGGCTGGGGAGGGAGGGGGAGGGAGCCCAACTAAGCCCGAAATAAGGCCTTAAGAGCTTGATGAGGGTTTGTTTGGGCTCCCTCCGCCTCCCCTCCCTCCCCCCCAGCCCCCATGACAGAACATGCAGCCACGAAACCGGAAGGGAGAAGTCCTAACCAGCGAGTGATGGAATACCATTAGGGGGCTCATTTCCTTGCTTGAGGTCAGGCACCAGGGAGGAAAAGGGTCAATTTAGGATGATGATACATACAGTCTTCTGTTTTCTTTTTTCCTTTTTTAAACCTATCTATCACACAGGATTCATAGTTTCTGACCACTATCTTATCATCTGACCAGGTCGAGCTAGAATCTTGCTTGCATGTGTTGGGATAATTGAGCTATGGTCCGTTCGACCATAGATGACTTTTCGCACAGGACGCATCTCTTCCAGTTGGGCACACAGGAAACTAATACCACCCCGAAGGATATCCTGGGGCCAAATGGCACATATACTATGCCGATTCTCAAGGCCATGCTCTACAGAAGCACTGCCAACAGCATCCAACTTGCAGGTTTTCCCTGCCTGCCACTTGGTTTTGGCTGATGTTTCTGCCTGGAAGTAAACATTCTGGGCAGTTCAAAGTCAGAAGACAGTGTTTCCCATGTGTGATTCTGTTCCAAGCAACGCCGTGACCAGCAAACGGTGCCGACATTGTGCTAGATTCCACTCTGCGGAGTTCCGACAGCATCGGCGGATCTGTTGCAACTCGGTCTGTGCTTGTGCCTCATGTGTGCTTTCAAAAGTGCTCATTGAGCACGTGTTGATGTAGAAATGCCCAAAGTGGTGAAGTCTGCTCCCTGTCTGGTCAAGATTCCAGGCTTCCCCTGAAGTCTCGCCCCTTCAGTCTGGGATCTCCTTCATTTGTTGGATCGGCCGTAGGGGCTTTTAGGTGAGACTGGATTCTATTTCAGGCCTGGGACATGCTACAATTAATCAGCACCTCCATAGAGACGTAAATCCATGGGTTTTGCCAAGAACCACCGCAGTGGCCCGAGAAGTGATTAGTCCGCAGGAAGGAACACAGAACGATTGGCTGAAATGATTTTAGGGGGGGCGGGAAAAAGGGGTTGCGGACGGAGTTGCATGTGTTCCGATCCTGCATTGATGGTCTTGAAGCGAAAATTAGTGGCCTCAATGGGCTGGACGTAGGAATCAGGACAAGAACCATAAGCTTCATGCGCTGTGATTTGCCCATGCAGTTGCCACCTTGCGTACTATGTGTAGAAATAGATTGTTAAAATATGTTAAAAGATTAGAACAACTTAACTCCCTCGCAACCGAATCCATTTTCAACTACCCTCCTGCAGATTCACATGGGTTCCCCAAAATCCATGGGAAACTCCTGTTGGGGCACCCCTTCTTGAGTATGTTGATTTGTCGGGGAGTGCCTGACCCGAACAAACACCTATGCAACCATCAGTGGCCGAGGCTCGGTATTGCCATCGGCGCCGCCACGGGAGACCAGGTAGACTCGTTCTTGTGCTGAGACCACGTGGGTGACATCCGTAAATTGGCTGGTCTCGGCGCACGCATCGCCCGAGTTCTGGGTGAATCGTTACTCCCCTACAAAGAAAAACATGGATCCCAAAAGAGGGGGTGGGGCCAAAAGGAGTTTCCTCTACAAATTGTGCTTTTTGGGGTTCCATGTTCATCTGCAGGGATTTATACTTTACCAATGTCATATCAAATGAACCAGCAAGAAAGAAATAACCGAGGGGTCTGCCTTCATGAGGGGTGAGTGTAGTCATTGAACATTTTCTCAACAGACGTTCATATGCAGCTGATCACACGTTGGATGCAGGACTGCAAGTGAGCACTTCAACACTGTCACGTATGCTTGTCCACCGTTGTCCACAAAACCAGGAAGCAAGACATGAGTTTTCTTGTCGAGGATAAGCATGGTTTAAAATGCACCACTGTACGGGGGACCTCCAAACAGTCAGCCTGCGGGGCCCGCTTTGACAGTGAGTGGCTAAGGTCGTAGTACTGTCTACCATCGGAACAAACTCTCGGCATGGATCAGGAATCGTTCAGCGAGACATGATCCGTCTCAGTACCTTGCTGATTGCACAGCTTCGGTAAAATCCAGTGGGCAGTACAACTTCTGCAAACCTTCGGTTCAGGCGGCAAAGGCAATGAATCGCATGCCCTTCTGCGCCAGCACCACAGTCACCTGGGATGTCTTTTGCTCGACCCCCGAGACCACAGCTCCGATTGGGTAACTGTGAGCGCCAGTGTCAAAAACAGGTTCTGGCAATGGGCATGACAAAATGACTGAGTCCCCTGGTCGCGGCAAACACATTCGCAAACGCCCCATGTCACTTCAAATCTTCCATAGACGTCCCCATACATTGACAGAACCTGATGTGATGCAAACTGGAACCTGTCTGTTAGAACCCACTTAGCCGATCTCCTACAAGGCCGTACCCATGCTGTTGTGGGTGTGTCGTCTAGGTCATGAATACTAACTGCACTTTTCGGGTTGTTCGTGTCGAAGGAAACTCCAATGAACAAGTCTGGTGCTTGTATATATATATATATGTATACACTCATTAGTACGCATGCGCCTTGTTTGTGTTTGTTAAGGGTACCTATGTTGAACTTGTTTCGGAAGGAAACCAAGGTACACTTTGGTTTCAACCGGTAGATCCACAGCCTCCCCCCCCCCGCAAAAAAAAGGAAGCTATCGCAAGAAAGATGGCCACTGTTGGGCGTCTGAGCATCGCCGCTATCATACTAGCGCGGGCAAAAACGCGGGCGAAATCGAGGGCTTTGAGCTTAAGGGTACGGTCTGATGGCTAGCGATCCCATGCACCGAGCAAAAGCATCAAAGGTACTCTTGCCACCCAAGCTTCTGTACTGCACTTCATGTGTGTTCTTGCAACTTTGGAAAAGGACAATTAGAAAACAATTGTTCTCAACTTTCAGCACCCTCAATGACCAAACAAGCAACGCTTCTGATGTGTCCTTGCCTCTTCCCAGACTGGCCTCGCACCCCCCGTCATTGAAATCCCGCCGGTCCAAAGTGCAGCCAGGCGTTTTTTTTGGCTCGTCGTAGCTGCGCAAAAAACTCTATAGCCGCTCTGATGATCATGCTTCTGTCATAACGGCCATGTCCAAACATGGGAACACTGAACGTCTATATACATATATGGCCCAATTGCTCTCCGGATGGCCTCGGAGAGCGTGCGAAAGTTGTTAATAGCCACAACTCCTCCCTCCCAATGGACTAAGATAATCCAAATTGACCGAAGCAACAAGAATCCGAAGGTCTTCACGGCCCAAGATATTTCATTTCACACACCGAAAGCAGGAATCCCTTTCCTAGCAAGACTTTTCGCAAGTTGGCATAACTTGCAAAGAATGCAAAGACACATTTTGTATAGCAAGAAACGTCTGTCTCAAGTTTCATTCTCTTGGACCACTAAGGTAGCCTCTTCTGGAAGCTGTGAGGCCTGTCAAACACTCAAGCTGGGGTTGCCTCCAAAACGGACCGTTTCCTCAGAGTTCTTCCGAAGGGCCGTTCTCCAGCGCAATCATCAGAGCCGCCAGGCCACAGGCTGATTCGCCTGCCGGCCTGTCCCTGTTAATTACGAGCCTTGCAACGGAGAGCTGTTGCCTCCGGCACAAAAGATGCCTCTTGATGTCTCTTGGTGCCCCAGAATGCACCAAGATTCACCAAAGCCCTTGGAACTGTGGGAATTGACCAAAGCCAGGTGAGCATCCCGAGCAGACTCACTGCCCCCTTCACAAAGATCCAAGGGGCTTAACGCATTTTGGCACAAACTTATGGTGTAATGCCACCACAACATTGTAAAACAACAGCCGTACGTGAGCTCGGTATGTGTGCAAAATGCACATCTTCCCACTTGTGGGCCCTGGGGCCTGCAGGCTTAAAATGTAAAAATCGGCCGGCCAATGTCCGGCGAAGCGGGAAAGTTGAGTTGAGCCAGAGGGGAGCTGTGGCAACATGTCTGCGGTTGTTGAAGAGGGAGACTGAAAGAAGATCCGTTTTTCAAGAGTGTGTGCCTGAAGTGGGGCCACGAACAAGCCGACGACCCGACGACCCGACGCCTCGAGAATGCGTGGCAGCTGGCATCTTCGCGTCTTCCCCGACACCCCGGCGCCCCGGCGCCCCGACGCCCCGACGCCCGACGCCGCCGAGCAATCTCGCGTCTTCGCGTCTTTCCGACGCCCCGACACCTCGAAACACTCTGGCGTCTTCGCGTCTTCGCGTCTTCCCGACGCCCCGACACCTCGACGCCTCAAAACACTCTCGCGCCCCGACACCTCGACGTCTTCGCGTCTTCCCTGACGCCCCGACACTCCGACGCCTCGAAACATGCTCGCGTCTTCGCGTCTTCGCGTCTTCCGGCGGTTTTCAGGTTTCATGTTAATTTGCGGGTGTATATTTATATCACCGGCCCTTGGACAGCCCCAGTTGGCCCGTTTGCTCGTCGGATGTGGAAAGTCGGCCATCCCCTGTCCTTTCCCATGACTGGACCCGTCTTCCGTGACTGGACCCCTTTCAGGCAAACCAAATCGCAGCGAAGGATACGAGTTCTCATCCTTCCCCAGGACCCCTGCAAAGAATAAGAACTCCTATCCTCTCCCGTGACTGGACGCTCTTTGGGCAAACAACACCTCCGCAAAAGATGAGACTTTTTTTCTTGCCCGTGACTCGACCCCCCCTGCCCGTGACTGGACCCCCTGTTGAGCAAACAAAACCACCGCAAAGGATAAGAGTTCTTATCCTTTCCCGTAGCTGGACCCCCCTTAGGCAAACAAAACCTCGCAAAGAATATAAACAACCTGCTGCTTTTCCGCAACTGCAACCCTTCCAGGCAAACAAACCACCGCAAAGATGAGACTTCTTATCCTTTCCGGTCTTTCCCGTGACTGGCCCCCCTGTTGAGCAAACAAAACCACCGCAAAGGATTAAGAGTTCTAATCCTTTCCCGCGACTGGACCCCCTCAAGCTGTGAAGCTGCACAGCTTCGCGTGTTCGTGTCTTGGCTTGGTTTGCGCGCACCTATCCTGCGGCCGCATTGTGCTTTGGAGCATCTCTTGTCAGGCCAAGCTTCTCCTTTCATAAGCGGACTCGCCTTTCACAAGCGGAGCTCGTGCGTCGTCGCACGTCTTCGTGCGTCTTCGTGCGTCTGCGCGTCTTCGCTTCAAAATTCATGCCCGCCTACTGCCCGCAATGTTTCTTACACGGGCGAAACGCCTCAGCGCAAGAAAGTCTCGACCTAACAAGACAGGGGCGGGATGCCTCGCTGCCGTGGAAACAGCATGTTCTAACGCTTTTGCATCGATGCCAACCATGTCCAGCAAGGGCAGAGCAGGCGTAACCCAACCAAACATTACCACCACTTCCCGAATTCAACGCAGGTCACGCTTCCTTCCGTGATGCATTCCTTTGTCGCAAAGTCTTCACAAATGATATGGGGTCGCTCATCTCCAGCACTTCAACTGGCACTGGGCTGTCTTCCAATCAAGCTGAGAACCAAGTACGCTGCCACGAACCACTCTGTCTTCTCTGCAGGCCACAGAATCTTACTGAAAGCCGATCGGGTCCATAGGTTCATACTGATACTTCTGGAGCATTGGCTGGCGCAAGGCGTTCTTGCGCGCCTGGACATAATTTCCAGCAGCGCGCGCGTTGCACTCTGGATGGCAAACTAAAAGAACTTGAATTGTTCCAGCAAATGAACGCTGAAAGGAATGACGTTTGGCGTCTTGCATATTGCTTGAGTGTAAAACCTTTGCTCAAGCCGCAAACGTGCACCAACGCTATCTTGACTGTCAGCCCGTGTCCAGTGTCCAGCCCACACAGAGGCCGCGCTCAAACAAACAAACGAACAAACAAACCAACAGCCAAAACTGCCTCGGCAGGCGGGCGCTAGCACTAACAATGAACTCTCTCAAAAGACCGCTACAAAAACCTACGCCCATTTGGCCATACGCAAGGTCATAAAAAGCTTCCAGCCACGCATTTTCTATTGAGACATCGTCTCGGCAACCCAGATTGATCGCATCCCGCAGGCATCTCTCCTAGATTCTCCTACTAGGTGGTATCTTGACTTGTTGCATCGTTGGGGTGGGTATCATATGGTTGCACGCGGCCCGACGCCGCGACGCCTCCAAGCAATGTCGTGTCTTCGCGTCCCGCCCCGACGCCCCCCAAGCGATCTTGCGTCTTCGCGTCTTCGCGTCTTCCCCGACGCACCTCGAAGAAATCTTGATCCTTCGCGTCTTCGCGTCTTCCTCGGCGCCCCGGCGCCCCGACGCCCAGACACCGCCTAGCAATCTCGCGTCTTCGCGTCGTCTTCGCGTCCTGACACCTCGACGCCTCGAAAAACTCGCGCGTCTTCCCCTCATTTGTCCTGGCCCCGGGCTGAGCGCACAATGACAATTTTTCCCCGCCCGGCAGGTTTGGGGCGGCTGCTTTGGATGCCGCCACAACCAGCCCGCCCGCCAACAGAGCCTCTGACAGACAGCTGCGACAGAGCCTGTCACAGACAAACGGACAGCTGTGGCTGCGACACGAACGACAGAGTTTGTGACAGACGGCATACAAACGGCAGAGCTTGCGACAGCCTGGCCTGCGACGCGACAGTCCGAAGCGTGAAGCTCCCGCTAGTGTTCAGCACAGCTTCAGCGGCTGCACGTTTTTCTAACATGAGACGTGAGTGCTCTCCAGAGGCCGAAGCTAGCAAATTGGTTCTGGCTTCTCGTGTGACATTTTCCAGAGCCAGGTTTGCAATTTGGCGACAAGTGCGCAGCATCCCGGCGCGGCAGACTTTGAGCTGTCGCAGCTGTCCCGGCCCAGCCACTGGCTGCGTAGTCAAGACCCAGGACTGTTATTGGCTTTGGTAACCTTGACGCGCACGTTCAGCTCATGTTCAGCTTCGTATTGGCCCCTGTAGTTGGTTGGATCTTGGGGCTACTGATGATGGTCCTTGCCAGCTTGCCTGGTCCCTGAAAGAATCAGAAGGGAATCCAGGTGATCTTGGCATCAGCTAAGGCTGCTATTGATTGGGGGTCAACGCTGCCTTGGTTCTATGTTGGTTTGACTGAGTTTCTTTGCCGTCACATCAGCCAGCAGCATGCGTGAGGCCGGGCCACGCGACCAGATTGACTTTTTGGCGCCTGTACATTTGCAGTCGTCTT